GAAAAACCATCAAGTTGCACCAGCACACGCCGGGGACCACCTGTGAACACCTGGCCGCCGGCGCTCTCCCGGCTCAGCAGCGCGTGCGCCCAGCAAGGTCCGCACGCAGCCCATCGACGCCAACCCTGCTCCTGGGAGTCGGGGGCGAGCCCGTGCCCGCACAGAGCCCGGGGCCCAGCAGGCCCACGGGACAGCCCAGCTGTTATCAGAGTGCTGCCCGGCCTGCCTTTGCCCACCCAGACCAGCCTGAGACACGGTCAGCCCGCATGCGCAGTAGAATCCCCGGAGCGTAAACATCGCCGAAGCCACGCCCTCCCCGGGCATCTGGTTTTAATTTCCCTGATTTAGAGGAGTCAGTCTGCTCCCTAATATCCCCAATCCCCCACTTTCCAGCTCCACCACCACGGGGCAGGGAGGCCACAGGGAACAACTGCCATGCCCCCCAGGGGCTCGTGTCCCCACCTTCTGGATCAGGCACAGGGAACCCCATCCAGGCCGGGCCTGAGAGGGGACCACGCTCCCAGTTTGCAGCTCTAGTCCCAAAGGGGTGGCCTGAAGGAGGCTGTTTGAGGGGCACAGACACTCCTCCTGGACTTGAGGCCTGGGGTCTCGGACAGGTCGTGAGGCCTCCCAGGGGTGGGCAGACCCGCGGCGGAAGAGGAAGGGGCGCTGCTGCCCGCTGCCCGCCGCCCGCGTGTTAGCAAAACTCAGACACCAGGGCTCGTTTCACGGCAATTCCTTCAGCGGAACACTTACGTTTCCGTATGTTTATGTTTGTTCTCATTATTGGTTTTAAAACAATAGACTCTAAAATCAAATAAATGCTTTGTGCTGTGTCTAGGCCCTAAGTGCTTGGTAAGTTGAATGAAGAGTAATTTACTCACATGTTGCTCGGTAGCAGGACTGCAGCCGGGAGGGGAATGGCCAGTTCACAGGAGGGGGGTTTCTCCTGGTTTAAAATGGTCTCTTTTGGACAAAGGTCCGTTCGCTCAGGGTTTCTCCTCCCCAGACTTCCTCCCTTAGTCCCAGGGAGCATCTGGGCAGAGGGAGGCTGGGTGGAAGACCTGATGCGTCTTCCTCCCCGCCAGTCCCTTCCAGCGCCCTTGGCCCGAGGCCCAGCCCTCCTGTCTTTGAGCATCAGCCTCCACCTCCTTGCACCTGCTGTGGAAGTGACGGCACCTGGCCACTCACCAGGCCCAGGCCTGGCTCAACCTCAGCAACCTCAGGCGGCCAATCCTCTAAAACTCAGCAGCCAGCTCCACCAGCTCCCAGCTTGAACCAGACCTCAGGCCTGCTACGTGCCTCACCATGGCAACACATCCCCTGCCTTCCTGCTAACTCAGTTCTCAGCTATCTTATCTTTTATTTCCCCCTGTAAATATGTTTTATTGATGTCAGAGCGAGGAAGAGAGATAAACATTCATGATCAGCTGCCTTCTGCGCGCCCCCCCCCCCTACTAAGGGCCAAGCCCACAACCCAGCCATGTGCCCTGATCAGGAATCCAACCTGTGACCTCCTGGTTCAATGGGATGACGCTCAACCAACTGAGCCACATGGGCTGGGCACTGTTATCTTATATCGACACTCAGAGGAGAGACAGGAGGGAGGAACAACAAGCAGCCCTGCACAGCTGTCTCACATCACACACTGGTTTCCTCAGTCAGTTCTCACAGCCAGTAAGACGGGCTCTTCCACTGAAAGTTCCCATCCAGCCCTAGTGTTATGGGCTGACTTGTATTCCTCAAAATTCAAATGTTGAGGCTCTCGCCCTCGATGTGATTGCATTTGGAGATGGGCACTTTAAGGAGGTAATTGAAGTGAAATGAGATTATAAGGGTGGGGCCCTAATTTGATGTTCCCTTATAAGAAGAGACACCAGATATCTCTCTTCCCCTCTCCTGTTTCCCCTCTTCCCCTCCCCCCTCCACCTTTCTCTCTTTCCCTTTAAGGATGTAATTGAAGTGAAATGAGATTATAAGGGTGGGGCCCTAATTTGATGTTCCCTTATAAGAGGCACCAGATATCTCTCTTCCCCTCTCCTGTTCCCCCCCTCCCCTCCCCCCCTCCACCTTTCTCTCTTTCCCTTTAAGGATGTAATTGAAGTGAAATGAGATTATAAGGGTGAGTCCCTAATTTGATGTTCCCTTATAACAAGAGACACCAGATATCTCTCTCCCCCTCTCCTGTTTCCCCTCCCCCCTCCCCCTTTCTCTCTTTCCCCCATGCACACAGAGAAAGGCCACGTGAAGACACAGGCAGAAGGCAGCCATTAACAAAGCAAGGAGAAAGGCTTTACCAGAAACCCTGCTGGAGACTTGACTTTGGACTTCCAGTCTCCAGAACTGCATGAAAATAAATATCTACTGTTTAAGCTACCCAGGCTATAGTATTTTTTTTTATCCTCACCTGAGGCTATTTTTCTATTTATCTTCAGATAGATTGGGAGGGAGAGGAAGGGAGACAGAGGGAGAAAGACAGGAACATCAATGTGAAAGGGACACATCGACTGGTTGCCTCCCACGCGACCCTGACCAGGGCCAGAGATGAACCCCAACCGAGGTACATGCCCTTGACCAAAATTAAACCCATGACTCACTGGTCAGAGGGCCGATGCTCCAACCACTGAGCCAAACTGGTCAGGGCCAGACTGTAGTATTTTGTTATGGCAGCCTGAGCAGTCTAAGATACCTAGCGATCCCAATGTAATGCCTTCTGGGAACTCAAACATTCTCAGCTCGGAGCCGGCCAGGGGCCCGGTGTCACTGCCCACTGGAGCTGCTGCCCCATATTTGCCCCCGCCCTTATTCTCCAAAACCAGGTTTCAGCTTCCTGTCTATATCCACGTAGTCCTTACTTCCATATTTCTCTCGATAACTTACTGTTCTAGTGGTCCAGGAACTGACCTGCAACTCGGAGACATTCTTCAGGGGGTTGTTTTCATGCCATTTCTCAATATGGTCCCTCTTCAAAGGCTATGAATTGCCTTTGTGCGTGTATGTGGCAAAGCTCAGGCCAAAGAAAGAAGCCGAGTTCCCCCTGCTGTCCCCCATCCTGGGCTATCAGGGAAATCAAGAGCTTCTTATGGAGGCAGAGCCGTCTCTGAGGAAGGGGTGATGGGTCCTATAAGAGTCTGAATTCAATCTTCCTGTGCTCTGGGCATCAATCTCCAGCCTCAGTGTTTCCACCCCGTGACACATGTAGCCTAAGATTGGAGAGAGGGCTTTTCAAAGCAAAGCAGCCAGCGCTGACCTCTGTGGAAAGGTCAAAGGTTTTGGAGGCAGAGTCCTGTGATTTTGACTTCTGTCTGACCTTACTGTGCGATCTTAAACAAGTCATGTCATCTGTCTGAACCACAGTCTCCCCTTTGTTAAGTGGGAGTAATGATCTTTGCTTTGCAGGGTTGTGATGAAGATTTCACGCTCTTATGACAATGCCTGGTTTGGTGTTTTATAGACATTTACTCCATTCACCTTCTTCTTCCTGAGTCAGTCTGGCCAATACATCTAAACGGCAGCTCTTTCCTGCTTTGAAGCTGTGTGTGGGTGTGGTGGGGACTCAGGGGAGAAGTGGAGGGGTGGCTGCCTCTTAAATATCTGAGTTCTCTTTATTTCATTCAAAAAGCATGCCCACGGAAAACGCAGGCAAACTGTGATCTCTGCCCAAGCAGTCCCCAGGGCCTACTCTCCAAACGATGCATTAGTGAGCAGTCATTCCTGGACTACATGGCGCCGACCCTGGCAGCTGGCATCGGGACTTTTCACATGTGAGTGAATGAATACACGAAAGGCCTTATGAAGGCCTCGTCCTGCAGCACACCCAGCTTTCCCAGGATCGCTTGCTCTTCCTGAGAACCGTACGGAACGCCCTGAGTCCGGCCACTCGGCCCGCAGGAAATGCCCTTCAGAGACAGGTACTTCCTGGGGGTGATTTTCCAGTTGTTGATCAGATACTTGGTGGTGCCCTATGGGTGTGTGATGCCTCTCAGTGGGACTCTGAGGTGGGTCCGCTCCCTACCTGCCTGCCTTGTTTTGCTATTCTGAAATCTGAGGGCAGCGCAGGGAGGAGGGGGGAGTAGGAACACCATACCGTGGGCGAGCCTGCTCTGTCTGTCCTGTGTAGGGACTCTGTCTGTCCAGTATTGGCCACGTGGAGGAGAGGTAAGATCCCATCGGTGTAGGGGAAATAGTGGGTTGGAGCCCCAAGTCTGACATTTAACTTCCACCTCCTTACCGTTGTGTACACTTGTGCAACCAGTTCACCTTCAGAAGCCCTGTTGCTGCACACGTGGAAGGAAAGGGTAGCGGCGCCATCTCAGGGCTGGATGATGGTTAAGCCGTATACTAGGGAACGCAGAAGGCTCAGGTGAGGAGTAAGGTGCTAAATGTACATTGCGGTTAGGAGGACTCTGACTTGGAGTCAGACAGACTGGGTGTGTTACACTATAGTACTATTTATCAATATCTAACACCACTCCCTGGAGGGAATCTGTGACCTGGCCACACTATTCAAAGGGCCCCTCGGTGGCCAGGGCGACTTTGCGAGCTCATTAGTAACTCCCCCGCCCTCCCTGCCTCCCCCTGTGATGAGGATGCATGTGCGAGGGCCCTGAGGAGTCAGCACCCTGAGTGATTAGGGTAAGCACAGCTCCCAAGCTGTTCCTTGATGGCCCCCATCACCAGCTGTTCTAGAAATTTGGGGATTTGAAGATTTGGGGGTTGTTACTGCAGAAAAACTCAATCCGGCCTCACTGATACACGTAGATACTGTTTCTTTCCTTTTTAAAAAATTTTTTTTATTGATTTTTAGAGAGAGAGAGAGAAGGGAGAGGGAGAGAGAAAAGAAGGGAGAGGAATAGAGAGATAGAAACATCGATGAGAGAGAACATAGCCGCCTCCTGCATGGCCCCCACTGGGGGTCTGGGCACGCGCCCTGACTGGGAATCAAACCGGCAACCTCTTGGTGCAGGGGTCGATGCTCAACCACTGAGCCACACCGGCTGGGCTTAGATGCTGTTTCTTTATGCCACGTAATATAACAACAACAGAGAAACAACGCACAAAACACACACATAACAACACCACTCAGCAAGCTTTGCAGGAGACTCTCGGGGCAGCCCAGCCGGGTGCTACTTGCTGCTGCTCCTCGGGAGGGGCCGGTAGACCCCGACCACCACGGCGTGGTCCCTCTCGTAGGGCTCCAGGGTCAGCTGCTCTTGGGGCTTTAGATTCTCCTGCTGCAGCTTCCTCACCTCAGAAGCAAACACCGCCTCGGCAGATGCAGTGGAGTCGATGCAGTTGGCCTTGATGGAGATGAGAAAGTGGCCCCCGTTGCGCAGGAAGGTGTGAGCATTCAGAGCCAGGATGCGGGACTGGTCCGGCTGGGCCACGTCGGCGAAGATCACGTCCACCATCCCGACCAGCATGCGGTACTTGAGCGGGTGGCGGGCGTCCTCCAGGACCGGGATGATGTTGGTTCGACTCTTGGCGACGTTGACCAGATCGCGGCCGGCGCGGTGGGAGAACTCGACGGCGTAGACCAAGCCGTCGGGGCCGACGATGTCGGAGACGTGGGAGACCGTGGTCCCCGAGGCGGCGCCCAGGTACAGCACTCTGCTCTTGGGCTTGATGTGGATCTGGTCCACCCCGCCCAGGATGGCGGCGGCCAGCTTGGAGCGGAACGGGTTCCAGGTGCGGTACTCCTGCTTCACGCCGCCCTCGGCCACCGTGACCCGCCGCTCGCCGTACACCGACTGGCCCGGCACCATGTTCCGGGTGACCAGCGCGTCCTCGGCCCCGCGGTAGATGTAGACGCCCTCGTGGCGGTGCGGCTCCACCGACACGGCGATGCCTTTCCTGCGGCGGTTCCTGTTCTTGCTCTTGGCGCCGCCGCCGCCGCCGCCGCCGCCGCTGCGCCGCTGCCCGCCGCCGCTGCGGTCCCTGCTGTCGCCGCCGCGCCCCCGGCCCCGGCCGCCGCCGCCGCTGCTGCCGCCGCCGCCGCCGCCGCCGCCGCTGCTGCGCGACCGCGGCCCGAAGCCGCCCTTGCCGCCGCCGTCACCTCCCCTGCTGCTGCTGCCGCGCCCGCCGCCCCAGCCGCCGCCCCAGCCGCCGCCGGAGCGCGAGCTTGCCGCAGACTTCATGGCGCCGATGGTCGGGGGCCCCGGCTGTGGTCCTGGAGCGGGGACCGAGGTTGGCGGCAGCCGCGGCAGGGACGCTGTGCGCGGCAGCTGTGCCCAGCTGTGCCGCAGCCCCGCAGCCCCGGGCCACCCTTTGACGCAGCGACTGACGTGGTTGCATCACTCCCGCTTGGATGCCCCTGCAGCCCCGGAAGCCCCCCTTCCCCGACCGCGGGCGGACGCAGTCTTGTACCCCCCCCCCGCCCCCTCTTCTGCTTTCGCAGGGACCGCTGGCACCTCTCCTGCGCCTCCGGGAAGAGGGTGTCTGCTCGGCAGGATGGGGGTTAGCACGGGCGCCAGTCCTGGCTGTGCCGCTCGCTTGCTGTGCGGCCTCGGAAGCTTATCTGACCCTTCCGCGGATCTTGAGCCGGCTCGAGCTCTCTGCGGTCGTCACCCATCTGTAAGACAGAACCCGCTTCCAAGGTTTGCTTCAAAGCGCCACATACACTTACGCCAGCCATGGCCCATGCTGCATGCTCTACGAGCGTTAGCTCTATTTTTTTTTTTTTAATAAAAATGAATTTCTTTGAGTCGATCTTGTTATTGAGGTATGGTTTACGTGTAACAAGAGCACCGTTTTGTTTTAAACGAATGCACTCGTGGTAGAGCTTTGACCACTCGAGAATAGCTCTGGCACTTACACAAGCTTGGGAGGACTGCCAATTGGTACACCTATGCGAACAAAACACTCATCTAACCCTTGACTTAGTTAAATCAACTACTTTGAAAATGTTAAGCGAAAGGGATGGGCCCAGCGATTAGCCGTGGTGGTAGGTAGAGCTACTGGAGCAAGGGTGGCAATGATGGGCAGTGGCGATGACCACCGTTGTCATGGGAACGGTGGAGCCGAGATGAGGGCGACTAATCCGAGATACTTAGAAGACAGAATTCACAGGGATTTCTGACAGACTGGGAATGGGAAGTCAGAAAGAGGAAAATTCCAAGCCAGGGGGTACCAAATACAGTGGCGCCCCTGCTGTGGAGAGCTACAGCCCTGGTTGCTCTCCTCTCTTCCATCAACTGTGCTGAGTCCTAGAACCTGTTCCAGGAACACAGGGCAGCAAGACACTGTTGATTTCTCAGCGTGGGTGGATCAGAGCCCTAAATCCAATAATATGCCTCAGCAGAGGCAAAAATCTCATGTACAGCCTTGACTCTTAATCTAGATTTCAGAAATCCACTCGTTCAGTCTGCAGTATCTTTCTTTATTTTTCTATTGATTTTTGAGAGGGAGGAAAGGATGAGAGAGAACATTGATTGGCTGCCTCCTGCATGCCCCCCACTGGGGATCGGGCCCACAACCTGGGCATGTGCCCTGACCGGGAGTTGAACTGATGACCTCTTGGTGCCTGGGTCGATGCTCAACCACTGAGCTACACCGGCCGGGCTGCAGTATCTCCTTGAATATATGAAAAGAACCGCTGGGTAGCACCAAGGACAGCAGGCACGCCAACGCAGCTTGCGTCTGTCAGCACCACGGACAGCGACGCCGATCGGGGCTGTTTTAGCGACTAGGGCTGGCTTTGGGGCCCACCCAAGAGCCCGGGAAGGTAGTGTAAGAGACTGGCAGACTGCCCTGTTAGAGGGCTAACTGCCTGTTCCAGAGGGAGACAAAACATACCCGAAGACCAGGGAAAACGTCAGGCGCGGGGTACTGAATGTACACACATGCCATCCCGGGCCAGGATTCTTGTCTCAAATTCCTAGACAGCAATACCAGGTCTGGCTTTCCCTGGTGGCCAAAGTGCCTCCTTAACGGGAGACAGAAGCCTATATGTTGGAATATGGACAAGGGATCAGAGAGTGCAATAGATGGTTCTGGAGTTGGATGGTTCACATAAAACACTCTCCTTAGAGGTTCCTCATTAAAAACTGGGGAGTGTTCTCTAAAATGGTGAGCTATGATTGGTGCTGTGGATTGGATTTCCCCAAACTCAGACCCTGTAATGGTTAATGTTATGTGTCAACTTGACTGGGCCACAAGGTGCCCAGATATTTGGCCAAGCTTTATTCTGGGTGGTTCTGTGAGGATTTGAGGATTAAAATGAACATGTAAGCGGGTAGACTGGGTAGTGCAGATGGCCCTCTGTAATGTGGTAGGCCTCACTGGGCTGTTTGAAGGCCTGAATCAAACAAAAGGCTGACCGCCCCTCCCTCAAGAGAATTCTCCTGCCTTGATGGCCTTGCTGGTCCTATAGCAGCCCACCTGCCTTCAGACTCGAACTGCAACACAGGCTCTGCAGACGGGGCTTGCCAGCCTCCATAATTATGTGAGCCATTGATGTATCCATCTATCTATCCTATTGGTTCTGTTTCTCTGGAGAACCCTAACTAATACAGTCTGTGACAAAGGACTTGGGTCCAGGTGGTTTTGGGGAGGTGATCCCAGAAACACGTCGGGTTGGTGAAATTGAGACAGAGAAGGTAGAAAGGCTAAGAAATGGTGCATCAACGAGCAGAATGCCATATTAGTTTACTGGGGCTCAAGGTCAGAGCACCTTGTCAGAACTGTCCCACTGCAGCTGAGAGGCTGGGGCTCCAATCTATCATTCTCCCTTCCCTACTGCCAGGAGTTGCTTCTGGGGCACTCACTTCCCTGCTCTGAGTTGCTCCTGTACGTGGTCCAGCAGACTCCTGATGCTGCAGAGTGCTCAGACAGAGCAGCAGAGGTGGGCCCAGGGGCTACTGGGAAGGGCATTGACAGTGCCTGCTTCCTCGGACCACTGCATCTCATAAACAACCAGAACTTTGTATCTTAGAAAACATGCACAAGCTCATCAAGCTTATTATATCAAGAAAGAAAGTCAGACTATAAATGTACTAACATTACCTGGAATACAGGTATTCAACTTAGCAGTACAAAACTTTCACCAATGAGTATTAGTATTTTTCACCGTGGTACAGAATATATGGAGGCCTGCAGTTACATTTAAATAGCTTATTCCTTCTGTGCTTTTATTCCGGGTATTAACTGCCAATCCTGCGCAATGACCCTTCTCCACTATGTGCCCAGGCTACTGAAGACACAAATCCAACACCGAGAAACCTGCCAAACTTTTACCTAAAGTATTTTAGATAATTCTGTTCACCATGCCAGGCATAAGCCTTAGAGAGCACACCTATTGACACATTCGGACCTGTCTTACCACTTTGCTATGTTGTCACTAACTCTCTTTTTACCACAAGCGTCTCCCAGGCTTCTGTCCACAGCCCCTGTGTTAAATAGACCGGCATGGCCTTTCTAGTGGACCTGCGGTTCATTTCAGAACCGATGGTCTCAAGATGTCATGTGTTCCTACAGGATCAACTAAATGGAATCGATTGGGAGGGGTGGCTATTGATTACAAACTCTAAATCTAATGAGCAACATCATGGACTTAGAGTCATTCTTTGGGAGTCACTACTGTGAACTAGCAAGGTGCCTATTCCCCCAGATTGTGGTGGCCTATCCCGCTCACTAGGTTTCCTGCAGTGACAGTTTCTCCAGGTATCTCCCCACGCCTGCCCATCTGCCCATGTTTCGTCATGTTACTGCAGTCATTTTCTACAATGTGCTGAGGGTTCCGGAACCATGCTCCCTCAAGGTACGCAAGCCCAGGGCGGCTTTCTCAGGCCTGTTCTCACTCACCACCACATCGCTGGTGACAGCCTTGGAACAATACAAACTGAATTTTCAGATCTTGCTTCTGACCGGAGGCTCCCTTTCCCAGGGCAGTGTTTGATGACTCCCCTGGACACCTGTCTCCGGGCTGATTCCTACCTGGCACAGCCATTTCTGACTTACAGCCTGTCGGTTGGGATACTACAGCCCGGGAGTACCCATCAGTCAGCAAAGTCGAACATGCGCCACCTGCTCTGTGCATGATCCCAGAATGCTACCAAGGCAGGGACTCATGCCAAGTATTGGCACCAGAAGGGGACTGATCAAAAAAAAGGTCTTACATAAAAATGTTCATCTTGTGCAGCTGATTACAATGAAATCTGTCTCAGCCCCAAAGGTTCTTTAGCAGTGGGTACCATCTACTGGAGATGTTTCCTCAAAGGCTAAGTTGGCACTAGGATCCTGACATTTCTTTTTGACAGCCAATAAAAACCATGGTAACTTAAACTTTTGTTTACAATTAACTTGTTACTCTGTGAGATACGCCCTGTAGTGATATCTGTGGCTAGGCATCAACAGTCAACATGCAGTATATTAGCCCTACCCACAGGCTTAAGATACATGAGAATCTGCTCTATTTCTCACACTGCACTCCAGAGACTGCCTGAGGAGACTGCCAGGATTTAGGTAAAACTAGTTAAGGTTGTGACACCCCACGCCCAGTCTCATTAGTACTTAATCACTCGTGCCCAAAGTGGCGTCCCCAATCTGATTTCTATAAGCCGTCTAGTTCACTTCCAAAGGTGACTCAAGGGATTGGTATCTCTATCCCGTGACAGCTACAGCTGTATTTGGTCAACATGGGCTGGGCTATGATACAGTAACATAGTATAACCCCCAAATCTCCATGGAGCAATAAAACCATGTTTATTTCTTGCTTACATTTCGTGTCCAGTGACGGTCATGTGAGGTTTACTCCACATACTCACTGAAGGGTCAGACACCAACAGCGTGTGGCTATAACATGAGATAAGAAGGCTTCCGTTGTTACCACTGGGGAAGAGAACGCACGGAGAACTCACTCTTTTTTGTTTCGGCCTAGGGTTCGACAGTCGATTCTACTCCCGACCGGATGGCCAGCTCCAGCCACACGCCCTAACTGAAAGGCAGCTGGGAAAGTGGGTGGGTACCTGGTGAACAGTAAGTGCTCTGGCCACAGCCACCTACTGCCTAATGTCGGCCTGGCACACCTTGACCAGTGCACCCAGCAAACATCACCGGCAACATTTACTGTTTAGCCCTGCTGGTTTGGCTCTGTTGGTTGAGTGTCATCCCACGCACCAGGATGTCGCCGGTTCAATTC